CAGTGTTGGGAGAAGTGTGTATGAGAGCCTTGCTGCTCAACCTCCTGTGGATTGAAGCTTAAATGCATTTTCTTAAGGGGTAGTGAGCTTAGGTCACATACAAAAAGCAGGTGTAATTTTCAGTGTCTTCTAGTGAGAGACTGGACTTAATTTTTACTTTGTCTTTTGGCAGGTGTTGAGCTCTGGAGGTTCACTGAAAGTGACTATCCAGCAGAGCAGTGAGAGCAGAGCTATCAGTACAACAGCTCTGAAACCAGGGCACTGGACCTGTGAGGTGGGCACAGCTGATCCCAGCCCTGAATCAGTCCTTAAATTCTACTGTTACATCTGCAAGACCAACTGCTGCAGTCAGCAGGTAAAAAACCCACAGATCTGACTGGGATGGGTGGCCAAGAGGAGTGAGTTGGGTGGCTGGCTGCCATGGGAGGATGTAGCAGGAGACTTGTTAGCAAGTACTCATGCTTCTGAAAGAAGGAACATAAAAATGATGGTGAGCATGCAGATAAAATAAACCTCCCCTGAGGTGCTGGCAGGTAACCTGCTAGAGAGAATGTGGGTGGATCCACAGGCAGCCATGCTCTGAAGCTTTTATACAATTTCATTGTTAAACAGCAGTCAAGAGAATGGAAAGCATAGCTCATACTTATTATTTTTTGTGTTTTGAATGCATTTAAATGGATTTTTCTTCTAATCACTCTCTTAGAATTTCCAATCCCATATGGCTGGAATTCAGCACCAGCAGCGACTTGGGGAGATTCAGCACATGAGCAATGTTTGTTTTGTTTCACTACTGCCCATGGTGAAGGAGCAGAAAGTGCTGGCAGAGAAAGATGGGTAAGTGTTGTTCTGGGCTAGAAAAGCAATCTGAATGTGGACTGACATGGGTTCTAAAATTCCTCACTGTATAAGGGTGCCCCAGTGTTCTAAGTAAGGTACAAAGTCCCTCTGGTTTCTAGAGCTTTAATCTCCTCCAGGCAACTTTCTTCCTGCAGAAGGATCCCAATGTTGACTTGGACTGGCTATGTGGTATTTAATGCAGTAGAACAGGTTGAAGACTTGTTTTAACTGATGCCTTTCTGTCAGCATGAGCTAAAGCAACCTGCATAAATGGCTGGGGAGGGGGAAGGATAAATCTGAGTCTTTAAAGATAGGAATGCTGGGGAAAACAATGCCAAGAGCAGATTGCAAACTGTGGTATTCTGTGGAGAATGTAAAAAGGTGTGACTTGGATATATCCATTCTCACTTTAGAGACACCCAGCAGAGATGGTGTAACACTTGTCAGATACACTTCACAGGGGACCTGATCAAACATCGCAGGACCCAAGAACACAAGGTAACCATCACAGCATGGATTTCATCTTTGCACTGACCTTTTGTAGGGATTAAGTGGAGGTGTCCAGCTTCTCTTGCTCCCCAGGTGGCAAAAGAGGAGTGATTGGAGTGGAGAGATGCATGTGAAGTTCTGCCAGTAACATTCTTACTGTCTGAGGGCTCAGCTATGCTCCCTCCTGCCTCTCAACACTGGCACTGTTTGACCTTCCAGTTGTCATGCTATGTGGGAATGAACTGAACCACTTCTAGTTTATATTTCTTTACTTTTCTCAATAAATACGGCCTGTCATACTCACCTAGTCAGTTGAATGGAGGAATTGCTGTGCAACCTGTACATTTTCAATCTAAAATTTAGGCAGGCCATCATATTTCTCAGCTTTTAGGGGAAAAGAGCCAGAACACCTTTTATAAGCTGCATTTCTTTTGTACTGCATTTTTTCCATCTTTTCAGTAGATAAGAACTAGGAAGTCCTTTCTGCTGAGTAGAAGACTTTTTGGTTTTGTCTCTCTGCAGATGCAGGACTGTGGCTTCGTTTCAAGATTTATCTGCATTTCTCCACAGTGGTGGAGTGACTTACTGACCTGTCCCTCTTTTTGCAGCTGGCCAAACGTTCACTCCGTCCTTTCTGCACCGTATGCAGCCGCCACTTCAAGACCCCTCGCAAATTCGTGGAGCACATGAAGTCCCCTGAGCACAAACAGAAAGCCAGAGAGGTAATACTGCCTCAGGGGAGATCTGCACAGGATTGGAAGCAGATATGCTATGGAGCAGGTTAACTTTTCTCCTTCCCTGACTACTGCAGGGATGAAAGGAGGATGTGCAGTTCTTCCAACCCTCTTCTAATTTTCGCCTTTGGGTGGATTTCAATTGTTAGAGCTTAAAGAAATTGAGTGAAAAGGGGATGAGGGGTTAGATGTGTCTAGAAGTATGATAGTTTTGTGCCTCTCTTGCAGTCCTTTTTGCTCATCAAATACAGTCTGTTCAGAGTCTGGGGTCTTCCCCAGGTAAATGGAGAGTACAAAGTTTCTCTTCTGGACTTGGCAGGTGAGGCTAGGAGAGAAGGAATTGGGTAGCCCGGAAGATTCGGAGGAGTTGATCACAGTGGATGCTGTTGGCTGTTTTGAAGATGATGATGATGAAGAGGAGGAAGAGGAGGGGGGAGCTGTTGAAGAGGAAGACCTTGATGTAGTGTTGACAGAGAACAAGGATTCTGCTGCCAAGCAGGTATGGCAAGGAAAGGGAGAAGGAAAGATCTGTCTGAGAATCTGCTGTGGTATCCTGTGACTTAGTTGGTCTTGGCTGGTTGAGCTCAGGGTTTCAGGAGTCCTGTCAACTTTGCACCCTACAGCAGGAGGGTGTGGGATTCTCCCAGAGCCCAGGACCATGTAAAAGAGAATCAGGAAGTATATGTGGGCTGCAGGAAGGTGTTCCTGCTATGCTGTACAGCTCCTACTGGTATCTTCAAACATTACCTTGCTGAGGAGCATAATCAACTTTTTTTCAAGGGAAAGAATTTGACAGACATGACAAAGTTTCTTTGAATAGCCCAACTATGAATAGCTACTGCTTGGGCACATAGCAAACGTATGTGTGGAGGTTTACCTTGATAAATATTTTCCCAGTAGAGAACAGTTACCAAGAAGGAGGTACATGTCTAATCTACTTCAGGTTTGGAGAGCAAGGGGTGTTTTTAACCCTTCTGACATTGGGTTTTGTATCTGGCCCTAACCAGATGCTGTGCAACTCCATCTCTGGTATGTGAATTCTCTGTTTTGCTCCCAAGCTTACCAGGAAAAGGAAAGGAATTGCCATAGATACAGTAGGCACTAATGTTCTTTTGGTTTCCAGACTGGGCTGAAGGAAATGTCTTTGGAGGATTACGAAGGAAGCGAGAAGTATTGTCCAGACACAGCCTATGGTAAGCAAGCAGAGTTAAGCACAGAGGCCCGTGGAGCCTTCTCTGGCCACATGCTGTATCTGTAAGAGAGGATGGTCTCTACCTGTTGCTGTAACGACTTCTTGGGTCATAGTGCTCAGCATCTGCGTTGGACTAGGGCAGGTCACTCCTGCCTGGAGAAAGGGCCAAACTCTGCTTTATATACTGTGTGATAAAACATAAGGAGGTGATTGGTGTTTGTCAGCTGCCTTTTGCTTTGAAGAAGAAGGGATGAGAGCCAGATAACCTTACTAAGGTAGGAAATGGAATGGGCAGGGCAAGAGTACTGAAGCAAATAGGTGGCAAACGAGGGATGCTCTGGAAGGATGGAGCCTGAAAGCATGTTGATTAGAATGCTTTCCAACAGAAATGCAGCTTCTATGGAGATACTGAGCAGTACTGACAGTATCAGGCTCTCTGCCAGAGCCCAAACTGTGCATGTTTCCTCTGCTTCAGAACCCCCACGCTCTACTTAGTGGTAACTCAGACATGTTGCTGGACTGGTGGGCAGTGTTGTCTCCAGATGGCTGGTCCCCACCCTGTAAGTGATTCTGACTTCAAACTTCTCATGGCCACTCGTGTTGTGAGGAGGGCAGCTCTGCAAAGGCTGTTTTGTGCCCAAGGAGAACTCTGTTTACACCAATCTTCCATATCGCTGTAACCTTCCACTATCGTGTGGCAGATGGAATAATGATTCATGCTGTGAATGTTCTCTGCGTGTTCCTCTTGCGCGCCTGCTGTCCTTTGCTTGGTTTGATCCCATTACATTAGATCACATGTTCTCTGTAGTTTTCCATTGTATTTTTTTCCTTTTCCCCCCCTCCCCTTAATGCTCTGTGTAGTTTCTTTGCTCTGGCAGCCAGATTTCTCTCTGAATATCAACCACACAGCCATTCCATGGTAAGATGAGATATTCAGCAAGTCATCTTGCAACTCCTTGATTAACAGAAGCAAAGCTTCCCACCTTTCTTTTTCTCCTTCCCCTCCCCTTTCCCTGTTAACATGCTTTCATTATTTGAGTTCCATTCAATGTGATCTGTGATTTCCCTTCCCCTCCCGTTTCGCAGGCCTGGATTTTCTGGTCCCCGTCGCAGGTTACCTCTGCAGGCTGTGTCACAAATTCTACCATAGCGACTCTGCTGCCCGGCTCGCACACTGCAAGTCCCTGATGCATTTTGAGAACTTTCAGGTTAGACCCTTTGGCGATTGCATGGCCTGGCATCTGTTACCCCGTGCGTGTCTCTTCAGCGAATTCACCACGTTTTGTCTTCAGCTCATTTCCATCATCATGGGTGTCCATTGTGCTGTAGCTTTCTCCTGGTGTGCTCTGTGTTTGTCTCCCATCACCCCTGTAGATCTAAAACCAGTCCTACTTCCCAGCTACTGCTGCTGTCATCTTGTTGCTAGTTTCTGGCTGGAAATCTTCCTCAGAGTGTCTGCTCTGTTTGCTGAACCCGTGGAGTCTTGTTCAGTCTAGGCCTCCTCTGTTAGATTACAAGTGGGTCAAGATGGGGAAAGAACAAGAGACAGGCTGTTCCTGTTAAGGTTGGCACATATGCATATTTCCATGCAATACTGCAGGAACAGCTTCTTTAGCCACAACTGTGGGTGTGATTCATCCATGCAGGGGTCTGGTAAAATCCAATACCTTCCAGAAATCTGGAATTTTTACTTTACAGACTCTTGATGTGATGAAAGCTACAAGCTGGTGAGAGTCCATTTGGACCCCAGGGTCAGCCTGCAACAGGAATCCTGTCTGTTTGTCTGCTACCCTTTCCTAGAAGCTCCTTAGCACAAAGCTCTGCCAGCTGATGCTGTTCCTTTGCTTTACTGGCTCCACCTAAAGAAGCCATAATTGCCCTTTGCTGCTTTTGTATCTAGAAGCTTTTCCTACTGGGCTGGCCTGAAATCTGCCTCCATTGTTCTGTCCTTGTTGACTTGCCAGGGGCTGAGGGGTCTGGTTTAGTGCCTTGTGGGTAAGCAGGGCTTCCACTGTCTCTGCCTGGGCCCTGCCTGCAAAGGAGAGTGGTGTTCCCTCACCTTGGCACAGAGGGAGGCTCCTGTGCTGACTTTGTCCTCTGCCTGCACCCAAAACCTGCTTCAGAAAAAGCCATTTTGCTTCCCTACCTCAGATATATCCAGCTTTTGAGTGTTTAAGCAAATGAGAGTTTTTCTGCTAGTCTTCAAACAGGTTAGCTGTTACAGTCAACCATCACTGCCTCCAGAAAAGGGTGGGGTCCTGCAGAAGCCAGCACTTAAAACTGTGAATTTGGAATGGCAAGTAGCAGAAGACCACAGCTGTTCCTTCATGGTTGCTCATCCTCTCCCACTCCTGTGGCTAGTAATTTCAGGAAGGAAGGAATCTGCCTTGCAGTTTTCCTGGCTTATTTTAGATCATCTTAGAGTGAAACTGCAGCAGCAATATGTTTGCCTCCCTTTTGGTCCACTTATTGCTGAAATCAGACGCTCTGCAAACGGATGCCAGAGTGACCTGGAGGTTTATTTATGAAAACAGTCCAACCTTAAATATCTGCAGGCAGGTAACTATTATTGGCTGCCTAGGTGCCTTGTTGTCACAGTCTGAATTAAAACTCTGCCAGTTTCTGAGGTGCTCTCATCAGAGCTCAGCACAGGGTTTCAAAGCAGAAAACTGTCTGCTGGTGAGACATTTAATATCATCACTCTGAAAACAAATTGGAATGCTTACATCTGGCTTAGTTTGGGCACAATGTTATGTCTTGACTTGTCTGGTTCTGATGCGTTATGATATTGTGCATATCCCACTATTTGAGGACAGAGAGAACAAGCCTGCAGTGATAAACTGAATTACAATATAAAGCTGCTTGTCTGATGTGCTGTAATTCCACATCAGAGTACAGTAGCAACTGCTTAAGGCAAAGGTGAAAGTCAGTGCACTCAAAATAGTTTCCTTAACTATTAAGTCATGTCTGATGCTTTTTCCAGATTGAGTGACCCTTTAGCAGAAAGACAGAAGTGAGTTCCTTGTGAAAGGAGCTGTTGTGGAAAAGAGGGAGCTTAGATTTTATTTCTTTAGCTCATGCTCTGGATCTTGAAGACCAGATTCCTAGTGTGTGTTAGATAGCTCTAGAGAGTTGCTGTTTTCTGAAATCCAGTCTTGCAAATGGCTAGTAGCCATTTTAATCTCTTTACAGACCTCTACTGGTTCATCATGATAGCAAGTGCAAATAAGTAATTTATTGATGATATGCTAACCTGTATTCTGTAGAGAACCTCAGCACCTTCTAACAAGATTCCTGATATCTTAGCGATCCTGTCAACAGCTTCACTGACTGCACAGATTATATTAGCAGAGTGAAAAATCTTAAGCATTTGACTTAAGTTTTACTTTATCTGATAAACATTAAATCACATCTCCGAAGCTGAGGGCAGTGCATAGTCTCATGTATCAAGAGTACATGTACAGAGTTATGTCCTGGCAGGAGCTGAACCAAGAGCTGTCACTTGCACTGTTACATCTACAAAGTCCTGAGTCTGACTGAGATTAACAGTTGCTAAAACATTACTTTTTGTCTCGGGAGCCACAGGTCTGCCATGCACTCGCTCAGCATTAAGTAATGCGAGAGGGATTCCAGTTTTTAATACCACCACTTTTCCTCACAGGAGCTGACCCTTGTCTGCTTGAAAGCCTCAGCAGCCAGGCCAGAAGAGCTGCCAAGTCGTGCCCCTGCAGATTCTAGCAGCTACTCACAACTGTTTTTGTACAGGTTTTCCTGGACCAGCTGCTTCTTGCTACAGTGACAGAAGCTGAGCTGGGCTTGTATCTCACCTTGCTTTGTTTGTATTTGCAGAGGTACAAGGCAGCGAGGCATCGTGCCACAGCTGCCTACCCCGAGGCTCCTTTGCATTCCCAGGGCTCCAGCTCCCAAGTGCTGGATGATCTGAAACAGGCTCCTGCTACAGCAGCAGATACGAGTAAGAGGATGAATGATGATCATGGGATAGACGAGAAAGGCACAGAGCTGCCAGCCCTCCAAGAACAAGCTTGGAGGTCTCTGGAGGGCAAGGGTGAGCTGGCCACCTCTGTAGCAGAGGGTGAAAGCCCAGCCAGCGTGACTGATGATGTGTGTGGAATCATGGTGGTAGAAGAAGAAAATCTACATGAAAAGAGCAAGTCCACTGCCCCTAGAGCCGACTGCCCACCCCCGGGGGAGAGCCGTGCCCTGGGGGCCTTGCTGGGACACACCTTGTCTGAGGAGGAAGCCAGTGCAGCCAGGCCAAGGGAAGGCACAGCTGATCCCCAGGATCCAGGCAGTGGAGGCGGTTTAGGACAGAATGAGGAAGCAAACACGGGCCAAGAGGCAGAGCCTTCCTCCCTTGCCAAAGGTGAGACAGCTGGTCTTGCCTCTGCTGGGGGCAGACGCTCTACTAGGCGCAAACCCAGATAGAGTGGCCTTAAAGGGAGAGCCCTTCCCATAGGATATGTGCTGGAAATGTTTATTTTCGGAGTCTTTTAATAGAGAAAAAACCTTCAACTTTACTGCTGTTTTTATTTTAAGAATAAAATAAGCCTGGCTTTAGCGTGTCTAATACAGGATGGTGTTGGTTATTACTCATACAGGTGGGATACAGCAATTATGTGGAAAGACTGAGGTTTGGATTGTTGAACCTGAAAGACAGTGTTACAATTTCTATGGGGGACAAAGTTCATGAAGTAGACGGATGCAGACTTAATTTCACTAAGAATTCTTTGTAGTTCCTCTGTTTCCAGGCAAAGGAAAAGTTTCTCTCTTGGGAGACTGTGCTCAGTTTTGCTTCTCAGAACAGTTTCCTTTCAAAGATACACATTCTTTGGACAAGCGCTGTGTCCTAAGCTAGGCAAGATTGTGCATCTTGACTCTTTATTAATTACTACAAGGCTTAATACAGTCTGTTCTCAGAGTGGAGACTCAGGAACAAATTTTGTTTCAAACTGATTTTAATAAAACAGATTTCTGATACAATATTTCTTTAACTTTCAAAAAACCCTTGCTTTATCTCTGACAGAAACAATTAAGACTTGCTTCACAGTGCTGGCCACAGGGCATCCTGACAAGATTGCAAAGTTTCAGACCAGAATGTTCATGCATCCTCCTGTCAAAATGCACAGGGAAGGCAGGTCCCTCTCTCTTTGCTCTGCATGGCTAAAGCTGTGCTGGGGGCTAACCAGACTGCTCTGCCTCTCTCCAACACCTCAGTCCTCTAATGGCAGCTTAAGGAATTAGGCAGCCTCCAATTATAATAGTCAAAACCATCACCCTGGTAGGTTGACTTATCTGCTTGGAAGGAGATAGAAGTGTCCAGTGATCTAGGGCCATCTGCCCTTACTTAGTTCTTACATCAGCATTCAGGTGAATAAGGGGTAAGTTGTAGTTTCAAGGCAGGAAGTTGCTTAGGGCCCCCCTCTCCCAATATGTCACCAGAGTTACACTTTGGGGCAAGCCTAGGGGTAGTCAGGACAGACTCTGCCTGCTGTGCTTTTTGAGGGAAGAGCCTAGAGCCACAGCCCTCCTTGTTTGGATTTAGCAGTGCAAAAGAGTAGAGAGCACTTTTCCACTGTGAAGAGGGCCTGCTTGCAAACAACCTGTGTAGCATCAGGCTTCTTTCCTACAACCATCTTTAACCCAGGGGTCAGTCCCAGGCTCATGCTGGGGAGCAAAAAGAACTAGCTCTCCTACATCCATCCACCTGTGTGCTTCTGCAGCTATCACACAGCTAGAGAAAAACAGAACATGGAGGTGAATGGCAGGACACAACTATGGGAAGGAACAAGTAACAGGAACAAGGTACCTCTTCTATTAAATTTTATGATAAATCAGTGACCAGTAACTGGTCCCCTTAGTACCAACTGAGTAGCTTGTGGCCAGCACACTAGACAGGAGGCTGTGATCCCTGCACATCAGCTTCCATGTTCTGCTGCTTGCTCTGCTGCTGGAATTCCAGGCGGGTCTGGCGGTTGGACTCCAGCAGTTCTTTCAAGCTGGCATGTAGATAATCATTCTTCTCCTCCAGGTGATCCAAGCAGGAGTTGATCTGGTCCAGCATGGAGTTTATTGCTGCATATTCTAAAAGGAAGGGAAACGAAATGGAACAATATATGTATGATGTCAGTGCAGGCAGTGTGAGCCCTTGAAAAACATGCCCACAGCATTTTGACTGGGTGAGTGAAGTAAAATGCAACTAAATCCTGTACGTGTGCTATTCACTGGCCAAACAAGACCAACAGGAAGCTGGAGGACTGACAAGATCTGAGGCGAGTTACCTGGGCAGTCCAGCCACATTATGGGCATACCTGATGGCCTTCAGTCTCATAGATCAAGATGTGCTAGCATTGCAATGGTACCAAATAAACCCCAAGGACAAGTTAGCCTTTTTAGCTGCCTTGGGGATCATCTTTCTTGATGAGGATGCAGGCATCTTGGCAGTGTGCCCAAGTGTTAATTACATTCTCTGAATTAGTCCTGTGAAGCTCCCAGGCTGGAATGTGCTCCACTTGGCTGGGGTCAGACTGCCAAAACAGCACAGCCCTTGCTGTGGCAGAAGGGGGGGCCAAAAGGTGCCACCATTATTTCCAAAAGGAGATAAGTGTGGGACACCAAGTTCATCAAGCAGGATTTCCATGCATCATTAAAGGCTTTGGGTACCTCAGATTAAAACCAAACTTATTCCTGATGATCCTGACAGTTCAGTAGGTACAGCTTTATATTCACAGCACTCATTTCCAGTCACAGGTGTTAGCCACAGTCATGGCACTGTTAATCAGATGAAGATAGCTGTGCTACTGTGAGGTAATGCTTGCTTTTAGATTGCTCCAAGCAATATTCACAAAATCCTAAATAATAACAAAAAACCAAACCTCTGCTGAAAAGTTACTTGGGAACCCCAGGGGGTTACAGGAGACCCCAGGCAGTCCCATGTTCCTCTCTGAAGCCACTTAGGCTGAGCGAGTGCAGGGAGGCAGGCAGACCTGGGAGCTGAGGTTTCTGAGGATGGTGGGCTGCAGGACAGGGAAAGGTGCCTGTGGGGGCAGACAAGCCCACACCTCACCAGCTGGAGCTGGATCCTCTCCACCAGATCCTGAGCAGCCAGGAGAGCACCTGAGCCAAGAGTGACATGCAGTGCCTGGCTGGAGAGCTGCTCTGAGCTAAGGGAGAACATGGACAAAGTGAGGAGGGTGAAGATCAAGCTGTGCTGAAATCCCCCAGCCCCACAAGCCAAACTGCCCCTCAGAGCTGCCCCCTTGACAATTCTGTAGGCAGGGTGCCCTGGTGCCCGAGCACAACAGGCATGGGTGTTGCCATGACTGGCAGCTTTAAAACTACAGTATTAATAGCTGAGAAGTTTCAATATTTTTTTTTTTAAAAGGTCCTTTTCCTGTGCTACTTTAGAGCTAGTGTTGGTGGCTTCACTTCTAGCAGTGCTGCAGCCTTTCATTCTTTGGAGAATTGCATACAAAGCATTTAAGCTTGTTTATAAAAGTTTGACCTTGCAGGTGCATGCAGAGGTGGCATTATAAGGAAGAGCACTGCTGACCTCGTATTTAAAAATCACAGACACATTCTTTCCAAAAAGGTGGCAATTATCAGTGTTTTTTGAAGCGTTTCAAGGTATGTGATACCTGAATGTTCATGAGTTTGAGCTCTGTACTTCAACGTGATGCACCATCTTCTAGTGAAATGGGGGGCAGAGCCCAAGCAGAAGGTAATTACTTCTGACAACTGATATTATTCATCAGCTTGGCAAGAAGTCTGTCATCATAGTAAGAGCCTAATTGTTCTCAGTGCCTAGAGCTCAAGCAAAGGGTATAGAAATTGTGCACCTTTGGGAAGTGAAAAAAAGATTACTTTTAAAATAAGCTGTACAAACACTGGATTTTCTTCTCGTATTTGTAACCTTGGTGTATTTTTGTGGAAATGTAACCACATCTCCTATTGAAAATGTTGACCAGGAGTATGGCAATCACAGTGTTTATTCCTCTGAATTTTTACAAGAATGGTTGCCAAAAATAAGGTCCTGTTTGAGATCAAGAAAGTGATTCACATCTTCAGCTCCAAGAGACCAAGAAGTAACTACAGACCTTCATGACCAGCTACGCACACAAAACCCCAGGTGACTGCAGACAGGACAACTTAATGCAGAGATTTGATGTAGATCAGATTTAGTGACTTTCTCTGTGACATCCACAGTGTCTTTAAGTTCTTCAAAAGTCTGGAAACACTAGTCATCCTGATGATGCAAAGCAATGAACACTCTTGGGGCATTTCAGGGCAGAAATGATCCTCCTGTCAGTGCAGGTGGATCACAGCCACAATTAGGAGATGCACCCGAGTGGGTCACATCGGAAATGGGGTGGTGTTTGGGTCAGCAGCACAACCCTATTCTTCACCATTTTGAAGGGAAAGGCAGCAAAGTTCTTGCTCTTTGAGAGGTTTCCAGCTGCAAGTGCATTCACATCACAGCTCTGCTCTTGTCTCGTTTCTTCCACTAGCTTTTTCTAATTGGGCAGGGACAGTATCAGAAACTTCACGCCCAAAAGTGGAATTTGCCAAACTAATCACATCAAATTCACTTTCCCCACCCACGACTACTTCTCCCAGATCTGCCCACACGAAGGGTCCTTGCGGTTTCAAAACCTGAGCGTCCTGTTTCTCCTCGGTCACTCACAGCCCGCACCCCGGCACACGCAGGGAACAATCCACGACACTCCCACCGACACCCCCAAGGCAGCAGGATGCGGGTGCCCCGTGCTGGGTGCGGAACCGCTGCCGGGGTGTCCTGGGCTGCAGAACCCGCCCTCCCCGCAGCCCCTCACCCCCCGCTCCGGGCGGAAGCAGCAAAACATCTGCCAACATCTGGGCCCCACCACCCGCGGGGCCAGGCCGGGCCACCCAAGCCCCACCGGGCTTCCCCCCCACGCACCTTCCTCCTCGAAGCCGTCCCCGCCCCCGG